TGGGCTACAAGTAACTGCATAAATCTCACTAGTGGAGAGAAAGTGAGGATCTTCAAATTCTAGCACAATAACACAATCAATATTGATTTTCAAAAGAAACAATTGAGTGTGAAACTTGAAGCTATTCCTGTATTCCAAATCTACATCAGGTTTAAAATATCAATCAAAAGGGCACCTTATATCATTTCTCCTCACAAGACACAACATAATATGCATGCTCATTATTGTCAAACAGCAAGAAACTAACAAATACAGTATAATACAGGACTGTCAACTCCTTTTTGTTTTTTTAAAAAAATTAATATCATAAAACTGAGCACCTGTTAATGAAATAAATAAGTACAAGTAGTCTCCTTGATAAATAAAGCAAAAAAAAGAAAAAGAAAAAGAAAAGGCATAATTTCAACAAAAAAATTAAAAAGTTTGACCCTTTCCTTTTTCTAAGAAAAAAGTGAGAAATTTACCAGTGTGACCAATGAATATGTGCATTAAGTCATCAGCTTCATCTGCAAAACAGCGAAGAAATTAGAAGAATAAGTAATTAACTCAATAAAGACGAAATATTCAATTCCAAAACAACATATACCATCGACACCCATATTTTCAGAGTCGAAGTGTTATTCATCATCAACATCAGGAAGATCTGAATCCATAGAAAAAGAAAGATATCAAATTTAAGAATCATAAGAGCAAACTATACGCATCCAAGTGGAGAGAGAAAAGACCTTCTTCGTCTACGGTGACTTCGTGGATGATATCGGATTCGTCGAGGAAAACCTCCCCCTGGTCGTCGTCTTCTTGAGCTGGGCTATTCATCTTCTCTTTCTATCCACCGTCAAAACCAACACTGAAAAAGAGCCATAAAAGGATTTTCGAGGTTTTTCCTAAATCGTCAGGGCTCCTTAGCAATTTGTATTTAAATAGTCCTTCAAGAATCCACTATATAACAATTTGGTACCCAAACAAAACAAGAGAATCGATTTAGTCCCAAAGAATCAAAATCCTTCAACCAAAGGGGAAATAGTGACGTGTTTTCTATTTGGTCAGCCTTCCCATCCATGCGTGTGTTTAATTCATCAAATTACTTGATGATGAGATATAAAAATTCTTTGTAAATAATCATTGTTACGTGTCATCTAATATTTAATGATTTAGTAATTATATTCCTTAAAAAAAAAATATTAAAATATAAAATTTTGACTTCTACACTTAGATACTACTAATTTTTTATTTAAAAAATTTCCTAATTA